AGCATCGCCTGAAGTCCGGCAAGAGCATCATTTGCAAGGCTAGGAACAGCAGCTGCGTTGAGTCCTGCCTTGAATGTTGCACTCGCGCCATTAGCCATGCTAGCATTGTTTATTCCTTGCTTAGCTGCTGTGCTTTTTGAAGTTGAAGCCATGAAGGGAGGAGAAATGACTCAGACACGTCTAGTCACACACAGTTGTTATACTGCAATTACAAGTCGCTGTAATGTAAATTATAGGCTTTAACTATAGAATGTACATGAAAATAGGAGAATTTCGGGGAGGAAAGTTCTAGGCAGCCATCTCCTTCGACAGTTCCACGTGACTAGGAGCTGGTCATTAAGAGTTTTATATGTTAGAAGCAGGATTTTAAATTCTTTCCTGGATTTTACAGGGAGCCAATGAAGAGAAGCTAATACAGGAGAAATATGATCTCTGTTACTGGTTCCTGTCAGAACCCTGGCTGAAGCATTTTGGATCAGCTGAAGGTTTTTAAGAGAATTATTGGGGCATCCTGATAATAAGGAGTACCAGTAGTCCAGTCTAGAAGTTATAAATGCATGGACTAGTTTCTCAGCACCACTCTAAGATAGGATGTTCCTGATTTTTACAATATTAGATGAAAAAAGGCTGTCCTACAAATTTGTTTTATACAGCAATTGAACGACATGTCCTGGTCAAAAATAACTCCAAGGTTCTTTCCAGTAAAACTGGAGACCAAGGCAATGCCATCCAGAGTAGCTATCTGGTTTGATCGTGCGTTTTTGAGGTGTTTAGGGCCAACCTCAGTTTTTTCTTCTATTCTTTTTGTTAAACAATGCTAACTGGTAACTGGTAAAAAAATTTCTAGTTGCACCTCTTATTTCTCAAAAACCTTATTCATGCATCTAATTGATAAAAAGGAGATTATTGCAATGTCTTGTTCTAAGACCTGAGCATCTTTACTGTGTTTAGATGACTAATAAACCATGGTGGAGCTCATCACAGAAGAGCTCCATCGTACATGGCAATATTTATCAGCTGCTTTCTGCTAGACTGATTGTGTGCACTAAAGCCCAACAACTACTGGATTTGTTTGGCCAATTCCAAAACTGATATCTGAGAGTTTAAAATAACAACAGAGAAAAAGTATTTGTACTTACCTGCTTGACACGAGGAAGGGAAGGAACCCTGATTTTATATTTTTTTTTATACACAATGAAGGTAGCTTTCCACTGCAGGAACTCTGATGAGGTGATGCAAACATTCAAAAGGTTCTTGGGGTGAAAACAAGCACAAAGGTTCCTGCAGTGGACAACAGCCTTATGTGCACAAATACAGGCACTAAAATGGCACAAGGAACACTGTAAAGTCTCAGGCCAGCAGCTGCTCTAGTTTGTGACACGTTTTAAGCTTGGTGTTTTTCTTCAAGCAACATAACATCGTTGCAGATGTACATCTAGAAATGGAGAAAAGGCAGGAAATAACATGATGTGCCATGCACTGAAACCATGTATGCTAAACAATACTGATAACATAAAGCAATAATAGGATGCTCATATTATTGATAAACAGCATCTAGCTTAGTTCATATTTTACAACTGATGACACCGGAATTATGAAATAACACACACCAAATTATTTAGTAAACAAAAGTGTTTCACAACAGTTTCACATGTTAGATTTCCTAAAGTAACCAATTTTTGCCTTGAAGGCAGCTTGGCACAGTGTTCACCAGTATGATACCCAGCTTCATGAAGAGGTCACCTGGAATGGTTTCCACAGCTAATAGATGAGTCCTGTCAAAAGCTAGCTGGTTGTTGCCTTTATAATGTGTTTGAGAGCAACAGTTGTGTTGTGTCAAAGAAGTGTTGAGTTACAGCAAACATCTCTATTCAGCTACTGTCGCAATCCATAATGAATGAAATGAAAAATGAAAAATACTTTATTTATCCCAGAAGGGAAATTCAATTTATTTATTATATTTATATTTATTTATTCAATCCATAATATAGCAAGAACTGCTCAACTTGAGAGACGACAGTCCACTATGTTAAGACATGAAGGTTAGTCTGAATGTCAAGAGTATACGAAGGTGTTTTAAGAGCAAAATGTGCTGATATTTGTTTATACTTTTGAATTCAATATGTGTTATTTCATATTTTTGATGTATTCAGCTTTGTTGTACACTGTGGAAAATAGTAAAACTAAAGAAAAACTTTGAAATGAATGGTGCTTTATGCACAGAGCACGGCACTTAATGGTGGACAAACTATGTGATGGACACTGTTTCTAAGTAATATTTCTGATCTTCTCTGGTACATACACCAATGCTGATATATCTGCAACAAGCCAGTTTCTGCCGCTATCTCGGATCTACCAGGAGAACATGCATTATTTTGGTTAGAATAGAATAGAATAGAATAGAATAGAATACCTTTTAACTTTTGGTTATCACTAACATTTGCATCTATTGTACGTTGACTAGCAGAACTAATGCTTGTTTGTGAATATTAAAATTCTTTTTGTTTTTTTTCCTCCCTGAGGTCGATGATAAAGGAGTACCTGCCACCACAGGATGGGCTCAGCAGTAAAGTGGAGGAGATTAGCTCCTTCTGCCAAGGTCAGATAGTTGCCATGGAGTCCTTCAGCCCTCAGGACGCCAAGATACGATTCGTTGGTGGGTAGCACCTCTCCTCTATCTCCTCATATGTCCTCCTCTCCTCTAATCTGTTACTAATGTGATTCATCTGAATCCTGTGTCTCTCAGAGTTTCTGAGCAACCTGCCTCTGTTTGGCTCGAACATTGTCCTGGCCCAAAAGGTGAGTCGGAGTGGTTGTCCCTCGCCATGCATGGTGAGCATCAGCCAGCAGGAGGTGCTGTTCCTTCACCCTAAAACACAGGTACTGCCCCTTTATCACCTACAGCACTGAAATACACCTTTCAGTATCAATACTTTATTGTCACTGGTTGTGTCTGTTTAAACCATGTCCCAGTTGTACAGGGATAAATATGTAATTTCATCACTGTTAAAAGATGATTAAAACCAGCTGTTATTTCATTCAAAGGATCTGTTTTCCTACATCTTGTCTTGTGTCTGTGCTAATAGGACATCAGTTAAGTTTTGTGTCATTCTAATCATGCTAATGCACCTAACTAGTGTTTCAGTGGGTACTTGTAAAAGTCGTCTATTTTCTCAACTAATGGCCTCAAATAGAATAAAGAAATACATTTTTTTTTTTCCTGTCCACTGCTACTAAGTACCGCCATATTTATTTGCACTATGTGTCCTACCTTAGATCAATCAGATAGGTTTTGGGAAGAAATTCTCTTCTAAACTGCTCTGCTAAACAAAGCTGTGACTCATGTCCTTTAACAACTTGAGTGTTTTTTCAGTCAGACACAGGACCTGCAATAAATTCATCTTTTCAGTCAAGTCGGCAAAGCTTTAGTCCGAAGCATCATTTGACCTGTGTTTGCCCCCACATCTCTCTACTAATGCTAAATAAATCCAGCAAGTGTTTGACACAGACTTTCCAATCTTCAGTTGATAATAGTGTCAGCCATCTAATGATATTTGTCTTTTTCTGCTACAGGAGCGAGTCTTTCAGATTTCTCTGGCTGATGTTCAGTCCATGCGTACCATCCGCCCCAAGAAACAAGGCAAAGTGCCAGCCATGGAAATCCACTACGGCAATTCAGCTAAACCCCAAAAAGTCATAGTTCATCTCAAACAGGTAATGACTTACAGTTGTAACGATGGGTTCTGTTTTTGTAGCTTTGTGCAGTGAACCAGTGTAACTTGGCTTGTACCACGGGGTTGTGGTTGAGTGTGGTGGTGCCTCAGGTCTTGTATTCCATAATCTTTTGATTACTTTATTTGGTGAAGGGACAGCCATACCAACCACAGTGACCACTGAAAGCTTGTCTTCATCAAGGTCATGCACTGAAACGCCAATGTCCATGTTTCAGTGAAAGCAACTATAGCACCATTAGTTAACAGGAGCTGAAGTTTAGTTTCTTGCTTCCAGCTGCCTGAGTTTATTAAATACCTGCAGCATCAGCAACAGGATCCATATGAGTGTCTGCAAAAGAGAGAGAGGCTCACATTTACACACAACTTCATTAATTACTTGTAAATATAAATGACCCCAACATGGCGACAGGCTGGATCAGTATCTAACAGGAAATGACACTGTGTGCTTCTCTTCAGACAGGCTGGCTGTCATATTAAGTTACATTAATACTCTGTCTTCATCGCAGTACAGGTTTATTTTCATGGACATTTGTAGCATTTTTGTAAAAGATGTGAAATGAGAAGTGCAGATGGAAATAAGAAGCAGCAAACTGTGTCTTTTGCTTCCTGTGATGCTGAAATACTTGGAATGTTTTCTCAAATCAGTTCTCACAACTTGAAATATGCCACTTGTGCCTGTCTGTTAATGTGACAACATGCAGTTCAGACTTGTGCTGAAAGTGATGTGGAAATGTTACTAGATTGGCAAGTGACCAGGGTGCTAATTCAGACATAAAGCCGACACACTCAAATGCCGACACATTAACAGAAAGGAGTGAAAGTCTAAAAGGGGCTACAATGTGAGCCCAGAGAATACCTCCTTCATAACTGAATGACCTAAAACTTCATCCATCATCACATGTAACAATGCAAAATAACTCTTTTGCAATCACATGAACTGAACACTAACATCAGTTTTAAAAAAAATATTGATGAGCAGTGGAAAATACATATGAACTTTGATTTGTTTGTTGTACAACCCATATGACGTATAAAACGTGAAATATGTTCTTGTTTTATGCAACTAATGGATAAATCATTTTCAGTCAATCTCTTCATTATTTATTCTATTAAATGATTCATCATTTGGTCAATATGTGACATTAAATAGTAAAAAAAGAAAAAAAAAATCACATCATCACATTTTCTTAGGGGTCAAGTTGTTGTCCTGAGATGGAAGGTCAAAAAGCTTTGTAACCTCAGATAAAGTAGATAGACTTTAAACAAGAAATCAAAACTACAAAGGATTTGGCATTTTGAATAATCAAATATCAAAATTCTGCTGAATAATTATCTGTCAGTGGATTATTTAACATCTATTTTGGTGCAGGTACTGAATGTTCACGTACAGCACTGGGTTCTGTGGAAACCCGAACATTGAAGACACCACAGCAAAATTACCAACATGCTAAAATTAGATTATTAGATTATTTTGGTAATTATCTATCTTTTTTTTAATGTTGTTTATGTCTAATACAATGTGTTACCTTCTATTTCAGGCGAAACAGTTGTGCCACATCCTCGCTCTAATGATGGAGAGCTGATCCCACTGTCACCAGTTCTGTTTCTGACTACAAATCATCACAAACAGTAAAGACAGGTTTTGCTAATGACTGGCTTCTATGACTGACTTGTTTTTCTCTTTCTTTGTTCATTTATCTTTACTTTCTGTGTAACTCATTGAATCATGAATTATTGATCAAACTGACTGAATAGAAAAGTAGACATGATGCAGATGTTCTCTCCGGTGCTTTCTGAAAAGAAATGATGCAGAGCAGACCCATGTACCACTTAAAGATCATATCATAATGCAGGAGGATGTAGGCTAATTCACCTGTCACCGTACAAGTAAATCAAAGTCTTAATCAAAGCCTTGAATTTGATCCTTTTTGTGTATTAAAATTCTATTTTTGAGATGTAAAGAAGGTTAATCACCATTCGAATTGAGTGCATACTAATGTTTAATGTAAGCAAACAATTTCTAAGCATTAAAGAAATGTTGATTTATCTCATCTCAACTGTTTATTTTTCAACATTTTCAAAGAAGGGTGGGTCAAGTGCCATCATCAGGTCCCAACTGCAATTTGTCCAATACTTGCCTCAGAAAATGCAACCATCTCAACTTCTGAAGGGATGTCAAGATGACAAATAAGTCAGATTACCACTTTGGAAACTGTTCTTTTGCACTGACCAAGAATTGAACCCAGATCATGATAACTGAACTCCCAGTGCACAACTACAATGTAAATTGATGTCAGTAGGATAAAAATACATCTGATATTTGGCCAATTTTGAGTTTTACCTCAAACAGGAGCAGAGATGTGACAAACAAAGTTATCTTACATACCTAAGCTAATTCAATTAGCTACGCTAACATAACTAAAGTGAAGTGAAGCAAGTGGAATAGAAGGAAGCAGCAGTGTAAAGTCAATCCCAACAGCTTCTCTCATAATTAACAGAAAATGTAATGAGCCAAGAGTTCAGCACACACCTGTTCTTCAAAACACAAACAGATGGACTCATGTTGGGTTAACTGGTACATCTGAAAATCTCACTTTTCCACTTTTCAAATAAGTTTCAGAGCTCAAGCAGTTTGTTTCAGACTTCATCTCACTAATAAATGTGTGTGTGTGTGTGTGAGTGTGAGTGTGTGTGTGTAAAAGGGTTTCTTTGTTGTTGCCCTTTTGTCTGAGAGCCATAGCCCAGAGAAACGTAAAGGTCAATGAAATTCATTGTTAATCTCATCATCATGTTGCTGTCTGATTGTTCCTGAGACAACTCTCTCCCACTCAGTGAAGTTTTCAAAGTAAAGTTTTGGGCGCCCTGGCGGCTCAATAGGTTCAGCAGGCGACCCATGTACAGGGCCTGAAAGTCCCTGATACAGCAGCCACGGTTCAAGTCCAACCCATGGCTTGTTTGCTGCATGTCCTTCCCCACTCTTCTTCCTACATTTCCTGTCTCTCTACTAACCTCTACAATAAAGGTTTAAAGGCCAAAAAAAATCACTTTTAATTTTTTTTTTAAAAAAAAGGTTTTGAGGTTACCTCTGAAAGTTGTGTTCTTGAATCTAAATCCTGGCCTGTCGCAAACCAATGCAGAAAACAACAGATTGCAAATAGGACTCAGCGCTAATGCACAGTGGTTTGGACGATTCATTTCTTAAGGACGGCTTTCTGAGGAATTGAGTAGTGTGAGACAAAAAGTCAGGGACTTATGCCAAGCTAAAAGCTAAATATTCTGATGCAGTTGTCCTTTGGGAGCCTCCTTTAGAGCATCCTGCTGTTTTGAAAGCCCAATGCTCTCATCTACAACCTGTCCTACTGCTCTGTGGAGAACTCAACATAAAAGAACTGATTGTTTCAAAAAAAATTACTCGAGTGTAAAGTCAGGTGTGATATCTCAGTGACATAAACAAAATCCAGATATGCCAACCAGGAAAGCACAATGTGAACCCACTAATAATCATAGCTGGTAACACAGGTAATAATCACAGCTGAACGTTGTCTCATATCTTCACACCCAGCCAATGTGCTCTGTCTCACCTTTGTCAACATAGTGTTCCCACCATAGAGTTGTGGAACACAAAAACATTTGTCAGGAAGGGCATCAGGGGCCAGTTATTCAGAAGGTGTAATCTGGATCAAAATTATCCGGATCACATAATCCATCTTACTTTTATCCCAGTTGTTCAAAGAAAAGTTGGATTGGATCAATCTTATTCAGATCCAACTTTTCAAGATGACCAAATCCGGATAATGAGTGCTCTAAATGATACTGCATATCACACTGAAGGCTACTAGGTATGTAGAAAAAACAGGTAGAAGCATGGGGTCACTCAAAGTATATTTATTTGAAGGAACATAAACAGATAACACAAGCACTCCATTTTCATTATCTTTGACCAGCCATAACATATCTGCTACACAAAAAGAAAAAGAAAAAAGAAAAAAAATAATAACAATACATTCCATGTGTTAAAAATGTAAAACTGAATATAACACTTTAAATGTCAACCTTGAACCATTAAAAATTTCAGGAGAAGGATCTATACAGAAAGCTCCAGGCCATCCAACCAGATGTTGTCCACTCCTAACATGGCTGATGACTCACTTTCTTACACCAAACACACCTGAGCAGGCACACTTCAGCACTGCTCATTCCAAAACAAGGTGTACTGTTGAGCGTTTAAATAGAGTTCTGAAGAGACGCTTTGCGTGCCTCAACTTCTTGCCAGTGGAACCCAAAGGAGTGTGCAACATAATACAGGCTTGTATTGTCCTACACAATATAGCTACACAGCAGAATGTCCCTCTCTGTGATGACGTTAATGATGCACCTGAGCAGCCAGCTGAAAATGAAGACACATCGCCGACATTCTCTCAGAATGAGAGAGTGACTGAACATGCAGTACAGGATGCCATTGTCAGAAACTATTTTTGAACAATGATCTTTAGACTGTAAATATTAAGTTGGTTGTTTTTTTTTTTGTTGTTGTTGTTTTTTTAAATGTGTCTATTTGACAGCACTGTTGCCTCGCAGCAAGAAGGTTGCCGGTTCGTGTCCCGGTGGGGGCACCGGAATTTTTCTGTGTGGAGCATGTTCTCCCCGTGCAGCGTGGGTTCTCTCCGGGTTCTCCGGCTTCCTCCCACAAGGTCCAAAAACATGTTGAGGTTAATTGGTGATTTTAAATTGTCCGTAGGTGTGAATGTGAGTGTGCTTGGTTGTCTGTCTCTAAGTGTAGCCCTGTGATAGACTGGTGACCTGTCCAGGGTGTCCCCTGCCTTCACCCTAAGTCGGCTGGGATAGGCTCCAGCCCCCCTGCGACCCTAGTGAGGATTAAGCGGTGTATAGATAATGGATGGATGAATGGATATTTATTTGACAAGTTTGAATTTAATTCAAATCACATTTTGTTCCTGAAATCCACCCCGAATCCACCAAACTGCTGGGATCAGAATAATCCAGATTTTTTTGGATCAAAGTTATTCCAATCCTACTACAAAGTTTTGAACAACACAAACTGAGGGTTTGATCCAGATTAAAACCAGGATTGGATTATGTGGTCTAAGACCATTATGTGTGGAGATGACCTGTGCAGGCCCAACTGTGGCTGCCTGAGAGCTCGCTCCAAGACACCAGCTGTCAGTCATCTCAGCTAATTAACGTGGAGCTGAAGACCTGCACTCTTGCCCTTGTTCTCCCCGCCTCAGGTCACGTCTCATTGGATCACTGCCTCTCCTCCCCCAGCAATCACCACATCTAGCTATAAAAGCCACCACAACCTTTCAGTCTGAGCTTGCTCTTTTGAATTTGTGGAAATATTACTTCTGTTGGCAGCTGCTAACTTGGTGGGGAGTTTTTGAGTGAGTCTCAGTGAAGACTATGACTCCTGATAGCAGCTGCACAACTTTGTGAGGGAGTTACTCGCGTCCTGTGTCTTCGTATTCTGTGTTTTGAGGCACCAGTTTGAGTTTCTTTTATGTGTGGATGTTGCTATTAGGTTTTGGCTAAAGAGTTTAGTTGAGTTTTGTTTGCTAGCTTTGCAACTCTGATAGCCTTCGTTTGGTTATGTGGTTCTTTTAATTGTAGCAACATCCACCCTCTTTTGTATTGTCACAGTTGTGTTCTGTTCATTTACGTTACTGAACAATAAATTGCTTTACCTGAACCATTTCCATCTGGTTTCTACTTACATCCAGCTAACCCTAGAGGCTGGATCGTAACACCACTTCAGAATAGTCCACTGTTTTCCTCTTAGCCATTCTTGGGTGTTTTTAGTTGTGTGTTTTGGGTCATTATCCTGTTGCAAGACCCATGACCTAGGACTGAGACCAAGCTCTCTGACACTGGGCCGCACGCTTCTCTCTAGAATACCTTGGTAGTCTTGAGAGTTCATTGTACCCTGCACAGATTCAAGACACCCTGTGCCAGATGCAGCAAAGCAGCCCCAGAACATAACAGAGCCTCCTCCATGTTTCACAGTAGGGACAGTGTTCTTTTTTTGATATGCTTCATTTTTCTGTTAACATAGAGCTGATGTGCCTTGCCAAAAAGTGTCAGTTCTGTCTCGTCTGTCCATAGAACATTCTCCCAGAAGCTTTGTGGCTTGTCAACATGCAGTTTGGCAAATTAAAGTCTGGCTTGTTATCATTTGTTTTCAACAATGGTGTCCTCCTTGGTCGTCTCCCATGAAGTCCACTTTGGCTCAAACAACGACGGATGGTGCGATCTGACACTGATGTACCTTGACCTTGGAGTTCACCTTTCATGTCTGAGAGGTTGTTCTGAGCTCTTTTGTTACCATTCGTATTATACATCTCTTCGATTTGTCATCAATTTTCCTCTTGCGGCCACGTCCAGGGAGGTTGGCTACAGTCCTATGGACACTTTTAAAATTCCCAGATCATCCTTAATATACAGAAATGTTAAAAAAATATATATATATAAAAAAATTGTGTGAGCCAGACTCCATCTCTTACTGGCTCCCACAAACAAGGTTGATATGTAAGCCGTGAGAAGCAGGTCCAGCCAGATCTGACAAGTATTGATTTATACACTGTGTGAAATTTCACCACAGCAGCAACCTGACCTCAGTTTACTGACTCAGTACTGACTGACTGAGAGATGCAGCTTGAAAGTTATGTGTGTTTGTGTGTGTGTAAGCCGGAGAACCCGGAGAGAACCCACACTGCACAGGGAGAACATGGAGACTCCATGCAGAAAGATCCCAGGCGTCCTAGTGGGATGAACTGGGGATCTTCTCGCTGTGAGGCGATGGAGCTAACCACCGAGCTAACCACCAAGCCACCATACAGCCCTCATCCATGACTTGATATCTAAAATACAGTTAAAAAGGGCATGGACTGGCATTTGTTCATAAGAAGACACAGCATTGTATAGCTGAGTGTCATCAGCAAAACTATACTAAACAATGGCATGCCTTCTGATGACATTTTGAAGCAGCAACAAAAAACGTACAGGAACACGATAACTAATTTTACAGCTTTAAGAG